GTACAAACACAGATAATGTTCTTCACATCAAGTTTCATAATAGGTCGATTTACTGTAATTTTTAAACTAAAGAAGCTACAAGTGTTCTACTGAGCGTAAATTGGCTATATTACGCACTGGTAAGACGGAGACAATAAATTCCACTGTTACATACTCTTAATAAAATACAAACCATAGTCATCAATCATCACTTTCAATATACAGATTTAATATTTATTCATCATAAACCACACATATATTAAATAATAACCATTAAAAAAATAGAATATATATCTTTGATATCAAATATTTCACTATTTTTTTTATAGCCATTAAATATACTCTATTCCAAATAAGAACAGGCTTTAGTGGCGACCAGTTTTCCTCAGGCATCGATCAAATAACACCTGCTTGTCACCCCACATAGTCAATTATSTGTATATCTAGCCGTGTGGTTCTGCCACGCCCCTGCGCACAAGTTGGCTGCCGAAGCCTATTCTCATTTGGAATAGGCTATAAGTTTGTAGGTCTAATGTCATAATATATTATTTTTTATACATTCCAAAATAATTCACACAATTTAACATWCATGGGCTACACTGTTAGTGGTTGCAACTTTTAAATGTGTACTGCTTAGAATGGGGATAATTTATATCCAGCCTTTGAAAAAATATATTTAATATATATAAAAAMTATGTACATAGTAAATGTCTATTAATTGTTGTAACCAAGATAATAATATATTATTCGACATTTATTTTGTTAAACATGTCTTTAACATGGCATGTATAGGTAATTATCAAAATGTGTGGTATTTTCTAACTCATTATCTTATTACTATTCTATTACTACAAATTATAACGATAATAATAAGTTACAGTTATTAAATAGATACAGATACTTCAATTTATATCTAAAACAAGAAATTATTTTTACATTCCTGGATGCTTGAAAATCTGTAAATACTGAAACAATTTTATTCACTAGGAAAAAGAAAACATGATAATACTAAGAAAAAAGGATGATCAAATTAAACAAATAAATACAATTTTACAATAAATTTGGAATGTATTTGTTAATTATCATCGATAACAGATTACCTAATAATATTTTACAAATATTTAATTTACCGAGTACACTATAATGGTCTCTTTCATAAGAATAAAACCCCTACGTTATTTAATATAATTCATAGACTATAATATAATTATAATATAATTAAAAACAACAAAACAATCATTCATGAAGAAAAACCATATATAACTATTCAAAAAAACATTACGAATAATACGAAATTTGAGTAAATACAAATAGATAGGGCTCATACATTTTTTCAATTCTGGGTGAAACAATTTTAAAAATTTCTAGAATCGCCCAAAAGATTCAATTTTTTTGAATTATTATTGAAGCAGGCAATTTCATAATAAATAATTTATATTTACATGATAATGTGTGTATTCATATCTTTAAATAATGAATAATTGATACAGAAATTAATTTATAAAATTCACATGGTATGGTTGATTATTGTCGAATTAAAATTAAATTATAAAATAATAGTTCACTTAATGTGAAAGAAATCTACAAGAATGGAATGACGAATAAAATGAAATAATAATAAAACAATTTWGATGGTGACACACATAAACAAGTTTAAAAACATAAAGAATCTTACATCCGTCACCACAGTTTCATTCTATGATGTGCGCTAATTTTACTTAAGCTGGAGTAAACAACAACAATTCATTATAATATATATTTTTTTTTTACAAACTTTTGTTTAGTTTTTGAATAACGATGTATTAACGTTAAAAATACTTTTAATCCTCCAGATTCCTAAAAGCTTGCTGGATATCATCATATAGTTGATCAAAGTCAGCACGGATTTTAGCTTCGCCGTCTTTTACTGGGTCCTATTGATACACACATTTAATAATAAACTTCATGTAACAAAAAAAATAACAATGTATTTTACCTTAAACTTCATGGAGGATAACTGGTAAAGGATATTTCCCATACTGTCTCTAATTACAGACCAAGTTATCTTGTTTTCAGACTGAGCTGTTGACTCAACAGCATGACGTGCCATGTCATAAAAGGCAATAGTATTTCTTAACATTCCAACGGTTTTGTAAAATGGACAAAAACGATCATATGGCGAATAACTAAAAGAAAATTCATTTGATATTTAAAATATGTGGTTACTATCAACCAAACCAAACAAATTACCTGTTTTGTTGTAAAAAGTCATCTTTTAATAGTTTAGCAACTTCTAATGTAATTTTGTCAGATTCAGCTAATGATGCTTTACCGACCAACTGCACTATTTCAGATAAATCTTCTTCTTCTTGTAAAATCTCTTTAACTTTGGTTCTTAAAGGCACAAATTCGGGGAAGTTTTTGTCATAGAAGTCATCCAATGCTCTTGTATATTTACTAAAACCATAMACCTTTTATCAAAAATATATTCTTAGTATAAATTAATAAATTATCATTATTACCTGTATGAAATAAGCCAATTGATGGAAGGAAAGTGTTTACGTTGAGCCAATTTTTTATCCAAACCCCAAAAAACTTGTACAATACCTAAAGTAGCTGATGTAACTGGATCAGAGAAGTCACCACCTGGAGGACTAACCGCTCCAACAATACTAACTGAACCTTCCCGTTCAGGGTTACCTAGACATTTTACTCGGCCAGCTCTTTCGTAGAATGAAGCCAAACGAGCTCCCAAATATGCAGGATAACCACTATCAAACAATAAACACAATTTAATTACATAAAAAAAAAAATATATTTTACATTTACATACCTATCAGCAGGCATTTCAGCAAGACGACCAGAAATTTCACGTAAAGCTTCAGCCCAGCGAGAAGTTGAATCAGCCATCATAGATACATTATATCCCATATCTCTGAAGTACTCAGATAAAGTAATACCTTAAAATCATTATTTATTAAATATTAAAAATATCCTTATGAGGTTTTTATTTTAAATACAAATATAATATCATTGTTAATTATTACCAGTATAAATTGAAGCTTCTCGAGCAGCTA